TTGTTGTTGTTGTTGTTGCAGCAGCATTCGCAGTAGGATGCAGTAGCACAATGATGTTGATCACAAGCAGTGTTGTCTTGGATTGCACAACGACAACTAAAAGTACCAGTGAGACGCATCTTCACATTCACAAGGTGCATTCTCATCGCCATCATCATCACCACCATCACCACCACCATCATCAACAACAACATGCCCATCATCGCCATCAAAGGACATCAAACAGCATCACCACCATCATCACCCGCGATAGGAGAAAAAGCACAACAATCACAGCCATGTGGGTGAAGCCCAAACTCCAAAGCATAAATAGTAAGCGCAGCGACTACCGGAAGTGATCGTAAGACGGAGAACGACGGACCGACCGGCTGACTGAGTTCTGAGCTGCTTCAGGAAGCCGGCCCACTGAACCGGGGCGCAGCCCAGGCGTCCGCCAGAGAGGGGCGTGGTCAGGGCCGTGGACCTCGGGTCAGGGTTTAGGGCCCAGGGTTTCGGGGGCCAGGGCTTGGGGCCAAGGCCCCAGGAGGCAAGCAAAGTTGAGAAGTGAGAATCTGAGCTGCAGGCAGCACCGACATTCCCAACCTGGACGGCCACCGTGCTGTGGACAGGCAGAAACCACAGGCTTCAGTTGAGCCCGTGGCTCGTTGCTGATGCCGTTGATCTTCAACCTGGAGAAGGAGTTGTTCTGGGCCTCAGTTTCACAGTAGGGCTGGGTGAGGCTTTCCAGCTCAAGAACATAAGGAACTGGGTCTCCCACCGCCATGCCCACCTCCAACCACGGACCCCACTGCACGCTGCCTGCGGGCACCCCACTGAGTCGCCAGTGGTGCGCCAAGGCATCCAAGCCTCAAGGAAATCTGAAATCCGAGAGATGCGGCTGAGATCTTTGCAAAGAGGGAAGTAAGCTTCAGGCATGTATTGGCTGCTGCATAGTTTCCCTGACCTGTGCAAGGATGTACATTGCATGCCGGGCGCCAGATAGTCAACCCCATGCGGGTGCTGGTGCCTGCTGCACCCAACAGGGCAGCTGTCGAGGAATAGAGCACGAAGAAGTCCAAGGAGAGACCATCAGCCGCACTGTGGAGATGCCTGGGAAACAGCGTAGGCACCGCAACTCTCTCGGAGCTTCACGAAAGTCTCTAGAATTTGCCCAAGCCACTTAGCTCCCATGACCTTGGCGCCATACGCCCGCTCGAGATTCTGACGGGTCAACTGAGGAAGCATGGCGTCATCCAAGACCTGAGCACACGGAGGGGTGCCCACGCACAGGCGAAGCTAAGCCTCTAAGCACCCGGCACCTGCCAGATGGAGCAAGCCGCGCACAGGCTTCTTGCCCTTGCCGGTCGGCTCAGCGGATTTGAACCTCTTCTTCAGGTCGGACGCTCCAGCTGCGGAGGCCACGTCACACGCCAGAGCAGTTGCTTGGAGGCTGGATTGCTGCAGCCACTTCCACTGCTGCTCGACTTCGGATCCCGGGCGGCCACTGCGCGAAAGCAGCAGCAAACTCTTAGCCCCCTCCTCCGCGAGGGCTTGGGCTGTGATCAGGCCCAAGGCACCCATGCCGCCCGAAAGCACATAGCTTGCCTCCGGAGACAGCTTCATCCGAGGCGGCACCTTCAGGACCACTTTGCCAATGTGGTGTGCCCGCTGGAGGAATTGCAAGGATTCCACTCCCTTTTCCAGGCCCTCGAACTCCTGTGCCGGAAGTGGCTTCCAGGAGCCTGATCCAGAGACATGCCTTTTAAAATCAGCGGCCACCACAACACAAAAGCAGCCCATGAACGTTTAGGGAACCCCAAGATACCCCAAGCTGCTGCGCCTCGCAGGTCCTTCTCAAGCCGCTTCAAGAGGCCCTGGTAGCGGTCGGGCTCATTCTCGCAGACTCCGTCGATGGCCAGGAGGTGGTACTTCAAGTCCGCCCGGAACTTCTTCACCTTCGGGCTTTTGGCTTCTTTTCTGAGGCTCTGGTAGCAATGGTAGCAGCTCTTCGTCTGTCTGCCAAGAGGGGTTTCGGGCTTAGGCGGAATTCCTAACTTTCAATGCAAATTACGTGAACACCACGGACTACGTGGGGCTCGTAAGCGCAACATCAATCATGTCGAGACACACAGTATGAGGAACAACAGCAATGATGATGCTATCTTAATCACCGCAACAGTCAAGACTACAGTAGGGGCGGTCATACGGGCGATGCTTCTACCCTCAATGACCAGACGGATGCAAGCTGCAGGTTCATCAAACAGCCCCCTAAACCCTAAGCCCGAAACCCTAAACCCTAAGCCCTAAGCCCTGAAACCCTAAACGAAGGCCTCCTCCACACTCCAAACATCGCGCTTGCCGATCTCCACAAAGCGGCCACCCTTCGCCAAGAGGCCCAAGCTCCGGCCGATGAAGTTGTCCTGGGTGTTTTAGGGGTTTAGGGTTTAGGGGTTTAGGGGTTTAGGGGTTTAGGGGTTTAGGGGCTTAGAGTTTAGGGTTTAGTGTTTAGGGTTTAGGAGTTTAGGGTTTAGGGGTGTCCAGTGTCTAGAGTTGGGGAGTTTAGGGCTTAATAAGGAGGTTTTCGGATTCTTCATGAAGCCAATACTGGGCATGAACAACCAAGCCGAATCGGTGCCAAGTGTCGTGGCTGAGGGAGTTGAGCACCACGTGGATCCCATCAGAGCCCTGATTGAAGCACTTAGGGCCTTTTCGGGCCTCTTCGGGTTCGGCACCAAGGGCCTTGAAGGGGTCAGGGCCATAGGGGCTTGGGTTTTTTGGCTGTGGGGCCTTTGAGGCTTTGGGCGCACCTACATCCAACATGGCAGCAACAGCGAGATTTTGCTGCTTGTGATCCCTTCAAGGCCTTGAGGAAACCCTTCATCTCTGTCTCAAATTCGTCTCCTCGGGTTCACGGCTTTTTCCTACAAGCCTACACAAACGGCACGTGCCACGACATGCGACATGATAAGGAGGGGACCATTTCTCGATGATGTAATGAACTTGACTCCCAGATCTCGCAGGAACTGGCGCTTCTCGTCCCGACCAGCTGTGGCGTAGACCTCGCAGGGCAAGAGGACATGGGGCCACGAACCTCCGGTCGCCCTGCGGCCTCTGCTCCAAGTCGCTGCGCATACTGCACGGCCACGAGTCCCACACCACCGGTTGCAGCATGGATGAGCACCTGTGGTAGGCGACAGCTTTCGACATGAGTCCAATGTAAGACGGATGCTTCAAAAGCGCTGTTGCCTTCTCCCCCTTCTTCAGCTTCGCCAACTCTGCAAAAGCCACGTCAACCGTGGTGTAGACCGTTGGCAACGCAGCCGCTGCTGCCGGTGACCAGGCACTGGGCCGAGGCACCAGCAGCTGCCATGGAGTCTTGGCCTCACAGGCAGCAATGTCCAAGCCCCCTTCAGGCACTGCAGCAACTAAGGCGGATGCATATGTCTTGAGGCAACCCCAGACGATGCCGAAGGCGTCGTCTCCACAGGAAAGCTCGCCTGGTGAA